AGACAAGACATCGCTGTCTAGGAAAAAGTATATGTCTCTGAATATACTGGCACCTGATACACACCCGCACTAACACATGCTCTTAGACTTTGGGACACTATTTTAACATTAAAACAGTATCTAACGTTAAAAATACATTTTTCCTCATTCTAATACCAACACATATTTATTTCTTTCCTTTAAGTACAATGAACTTAAAATACAAATGAACTTGTGGAAAATAAAATGATCCATCTTCCTATTGGAAAGATAGTTATTAGCACCTTCATTGAGATTCTTCCAGACCATTTTCTCAATGTGTAGATGTATACTGATTCACATTGTACAGTTTTATAAACTGATTTTTAAAACAGTTATAATAGCATCAAAAATTGCTTGCATTAGTACATATTTATTTATTTACATTGGAAGGTTTCATTCTGTTTTAGAAAGTGTCCTATGAGCTACCTGTAGGGGCCTGCATTGCACCTCACACCCATAATGACTGAAATTCCACATTTATTTGGTTTATACATTTGATTTCTATGTAAAGTTTTGGGGGTGAAACAGAATTCTACTTTCAAAATATTACAAAACAACTGATTGTGTGACTATATCATTTTTCATGTTATGTCTAGAATAAGGAAAAACTTTGTATCTAAATTTTTATCCAAGTAAATTGATATATTTTTACCCAATTTTTCATCCCTCAGCACATATCATGCTCCAGCAATACTGACCCAGGGCTAGTGATTCGGCCACCATGCCATTTACCACCTCTCCATCAGGCATGTCCTTCAACTCTTAACTGCCTATGAAATTTTTATTCACCCTTCAGAAACTCTATTTAAATATCATTGGCCTCTAATTCAGTAAAAAAATATGTATTAACTAACGATCAGGTTGTACACATTATATGTATATGTCATTCTTTAGTAATTATACCTCAAATTTAGCAAATTTATTAAAATCCTATACATGCCAGTCTCTGAGCTAAGCATTAAGACATAAAGGCTGTATCATGATGCTACATCAGGTAATGCTGTCTAGGTATTGGAAAAGGAGGCATACAATTACCCAAATTAATACAACACAGTGAGGTCATTTCTGTGAGAGGTGTAGTAGGCTGAATAAGGATTCCCACAAAGATGTCCACACCTAGTTCCCAGAATCTATGACTATATTATCTTACATCGCAAAATGGATTTATAGATTAAGTTAAAGATTCTGAGATGGGGAGGGTATCCTGGATTTGTTTGGGGGGAGGGGTCAACGCAACCTCAGAGTCCTTTTAAGAGTCAGGCAGGAGAATGCAGAGAAAGAGAGGGTAGCGGGAGACTGGAAATACTGTTCAACTGGTTTTGAAAATGGAAGATGGACCATGAGCCAAGGAATGCAGGCCCCCTCTAGAAGTTGGTAAACAAGGAAACAAATTCTCCAGCCCTGTGTACTTTAGTTCAAAATTTAGTCAATTTTTTATGTCTCAGTCCTTCAGTGAGGCTGTGCTTCTGTGTGAACTTCCTAAGTGTTTCTCCACCTTACTCTCTACCTGTGGTAATGACAGTGTGGTACAAGCGGGTGGTGGTGAGGTGTTCCCCTTCTCCCACAATGCAGTGAAGGCTAGAGGAAAGTTGGGCAGTTCCCTTCCCCCAGGTTATTAGGCTCTGGTGAGACCCTAGCAGGTTAAGCCTTGTAACTGAGGACAGGATTTAAGAACAGAGTGCTCTGATATATTTAAAAATAGTTCTTTTCCTGCTCCCCTTGCTGGAAGTAGAAGGTGATTTTCCTTCTATTGATATATTTGTAGTGAGAACCTAGTCAAAATAATGGAGCTAAACCTCATAAAATTGTGCCCCTATGATTTGGTTCCTTGGAATTGTGATTGTTTTTATTTTAATTTTAGGTAGAGCCTTTAAAATATTGAAGTGCATCAGATTACAGCATTGTATGTGATAGAGAGGTATAGGACCACAGTGTTCAAGTGTATATTCCACACCACACCCACCACCAAGACACTGAAAGTCTCCACCATAGTTCACTGTGCCCCTCCCGACTTTGCTCTCCCTGCCCTCCCTCCCGCTCTGGTAGTCTCAATTCTAAGGTTAGATCTCTGGGACTTAGTGCAGAGTTGCCTGCACTGAGCTTAGTACATCACAGTTCAAGCTTATGGGGGAACCAAATAAGACATCAGTGTAGAAAAGGATGGTAGCAGTATAAAGCACAACAGGGTGAAAAGAGACAATTGTGGATCAGAGACATACTGCAGGGGAGAGGGAGGGAGAGGGATGAAAGGGAGGGAGGGAGGAGCAAAGGGGACTACCTGGTACTGGTTCCCACAGTAGTTTGTGTAACTCCCTGTTTTTGCTTGTCTTGGGAGCAGTGGTTTGCCCTGTGTCATTACCGCTCATATTTCCTAGAAGAGATGTTGATTTTTCAGTCTGTTCAGCTTTTTACTTATTTTATTCTTTTATTGGGAAGTGCCCAACTTCCATCAGCTCTAGCCTTCACTGTGGAAGAAGGAAAATACCTCACCACAGTCCACTTCCACCACGCTGTCTCTCCCACAGGTTGAGAGTAAAATGAAGAAACACGAAGTTCACAGAAGCACAGACTCACTTTCATTTGCATGTTACGAGTATATCTTTTAGGTCAATATTTTCAAATCAATTTTACTCTAGAACAGTAGCATTTAAAAAAAAAACCTGCATGGGTACTTTATAATTTATATGATTATTTTACTGATAGGCCATCAGACATATCCCCCACCACTTGTTTTTGGTAAAATAAGTTATCTTGGCAGATAGTCTCATGGAATATTTCTTTTATTCTACAAATTGATTTTCAAATTTTTCAAAGATGTATGTGTCAAATGACATCAAGAAAATGTATATTCTTGGTAAGTTATTTGAAGGGTTTGAATGTTTTCTTTTTGAGTCTTGCAATTCTTTATTTTTTTTTTACAATTTTTTAAATATTTTTTAAACAACATTTGCTTCCCCCCACCCCCTCAGATTGAGTCCCCATAGAATTTCCTTCCCCAAGGCACCGGTGCACCATCACCACGGTCCCCTGTGCTCCTCCCTCCCTCCCTCTCATCCCGCTCCCTCCTCCTCCCCTGCAGTATGTCTCTGATTTGTAATTGCCTGTTTTTGCTTTGTTGTGTTTTGTACTGTTACTATTTTTTTTGCACTGATGTCTGATTTGGTTCCCCTATATTCCTGTTATGAGTGAAACCATCTGATATTTTTCTTTTTCCTTCTGGTTTATTTCGCTGGGCATGATTCCTTCTAGCTCCATCCACGTTGCTGCGAATGGCATGCGTTTATCTTTTTTGATTGCTGAATAATATTCCATTGTGTATGTGTGCCACATCTTCTTGATCCAGTCATCTATTTTTGGGCATTTGGTTTGTTTCCAGGTTTTACCTATTGTAAATAGGACTCCAATAAAAATAGGTGTACAGGTGTTAAAAAAAAACAAAAAACAAAAAACAAAATTTAGTCAATTTTGATTTCTAACCTCCAGAAATGTAATGTAACTTTCTGTTGTTTTCATGAGTGTGTAGTAACTTGTTATAGCAGGACTAGATACCAAATACCCACGTCCTGGACTAAGAGAATCAGAAGGGGAGGAAGCCCACAGGTCAGAGAAGAATCAGAGCCAGGTGTGACCGTGGCCATGGCGGGAGGGAAGCAGGTAATAAGGGCGCATTTCTTACCTGTTTGCCGCCTGGACGCTGGGCTCCTCTCAGCCGCAGCCGCACAGGTGCATGGCTGCCCCGCCTGGGCACCGCTTCTCGAGGGTGCCAGCCAAGCTCTGGAATGGGCAGCGTGGGCCACATTTGGTCGCGTGGAGCTGGAGCCGGACCTGGAAGTCTTCTGGGCTGGGTGTTTCTGGGCAGCGGCGTGGGGCTGGCCTCTGCCTTCGGGTTCTGGAGGAGGTCAGCCCCTTTCCAGTGGGTCCAGCCCTCTCTCATCCCACCTCCTTTACACGGTGCAAGGGCAGGAATGGTCACGGAGCAGGTTTTCTATGATCCCATGTAGATGGGGTAAAGGAGGAGAGAGTCTTGGAGACCTCGACGGTTTTTCAGGCTTTTATTGGGATTACCAGGTACATAGCAGGTAGGGGGGCTGGGGGGCTAGAAGGCCTCCCAGCCCCCAGCAAGTCGTCACTCTGGGCTCTCCAGCCTTCTCTCACAGTCTCTCTGCTCTTCTCATGGCTCTGCTCCTCTATTTCTTTCTTGGCTTCTGCTGGCGTCCCCATGACGCCGCCCTTAAAAGCCCAGTCTCAGCCCAGGTGAATCCCATCTACCTCTGCCCACACCCTACTCCAGGTGCCCGCCATCAGGCATGCATTCAGGACCACAGGGTTCCGTAATCTATCCTGATGGCGGGAGGGCAGAAAAGCCTGATACTTTTTACCTTACCCTACACACGACTCCCTAAACCCCAAATTCCTGACGGCTCAGTTTTTGGCTTTCCACGCGACCAGAGAGACCACAGGTTCAGGTCCTTAACAATCTGAAAGTAAATTGCTCCTTCTTGGCTACAACGCCACACCTTGCATGAGGCTTTTTAAAAGTCTTCTTTCCCCCCTAAAGTCTGAGGCGGCGTTGGGGGTGTAGGCACCAATTCAACTTTGGCCTCGGGTTCCACATACAAAGTGTGTTTGAAGTGGTACCCAGTGTACCTCAGAGTCCTCACAGGAGGTGTCAACTCATGAGTCCTCACCCATGGGTATGACTGGGTAGCCTGGCACGGGGCTTTCCCCCGCGAAACTCCCAAATGGTTCTAATACGAAGTCGGCTTTTGGTGACCAGGGGCTGTCAGACAATGGGCGCTTTCCAGCCCACAGTGTGTGTTAGACGATCCTGTGGAGTCTCCACCTATGCCCCGCCCCCGCAGGCCACACCAGGCGAGGCCCGCCCACGGCCCCGCGCCCCGCCCCCGCCTCCAGACTCCACCTCCTCCCCCCTTCGTGGGTGTCTCCACTTGGTCTCGCCCAGCTCCGCCTCTCCCAGGTCCTCCCTCCCCGTCCCAAGATGGCTGCGCTGCTGCGGAGCCCGGAGCCGTGGAACCGCGTGACGATCCCTAAAGCTGGAAGCCGCAGCGCGGTGACCGTACCGGACCCCGACGCGGCCCTCGGTGAGCCCGGCGCGGGGCAGACCTTCCGGGGGGCGGGGGGCGCCCTCCGCACGTGGAGCCGGGGGCGGGGCTTCCTGAGCCCAGGACGTGCTGGGCGGGGGCGCCGCTGGGGGCCGAGTGGGCTTTGAGTTGGCGACCTTGTCTAGCCCTCTGTGCACACCCAGGACCCGGCAGGTGCAGTGCAGGCCCTAAACCCAGGCCGCGCCAGGGGATGGAGAGGGGCGGACGCAGCTGTTGTCGGGGAAGGGGCGGCCTGGGACGTCAGGAGCTTGCTTGACCCCTCGGTCTGGGGAGGCACTTTAGCACCATGAATTTAAACTGTAATCTTTCTGGGCCTCCGGCGCCTTATCTGTAAAAGGGGGTTAATGCACCCTAGCATCAGCGGATTGTTGGGATGATCATATTACTGTTTTACTGCCGACTAGCGGCAATATTATCCTTTTTTACAGTTTACAGATTAATCTTCCATTCTTCTCTATTCAGAAATTCCTTAAGTTTCCTGTTAGGCATTGAAATTCATCAACCCACTCCCCAGTCCTGGGGCATCCCATTCTGATCTCTGTTAATTGGGAGAATAGAAGGTTCTACGCTTTGTGTAGATGCTAGTGCTATGCCATAGGCAACACATTAACTTCATTCTCTACTTCCCAGCTCTTCTGACAAGGAAACAACTTTCTGCCGAGCACCGGCTCTTCAGTCAGCCATTCATCAGATTTTATAATTTCTAATTGTCATGGTAGTTGCTCAGTTCTGAACAATTTTTGTTTTAAAAGTGGTACCCAAGTGCAGTACCATTGCCTTTTAAGAGTATGAATTTATAGGTTCTGCCGTTGTGTATACACTTGCACCATCTTCAGGGTACTCAAGGTTTGTACATTAAGTAAAAGGCTGCAAGGTATTCATATAAAAGATTATTAAAATCGTGATAGGATGTGAGGTAGAGCTATACATTTAATGGATGTTCTCAGTAATTTCTGGCTTTATATTATCTGTCACCGTTTTCCAAGTCACATACTTAGAATCATTTTGTGCTTGCAGTGGATGCTGCTTGTCATTTCGTTCTTTTAACGTAAAGAAAATGCTTCTTCGGTATCTTTTCACCAAAATGTACTTAATGTTGAAATCTCTTGTTAAGTCTTATTATCTCTGCTTTAGATCTTTGCATTGCAACTGTAATTAAAGAATGCTGTCTCCTTACACAATTGCTGAAGAGTCCAACCTTAGATGCAGAAACAGATGTGCTATGTGCGCTCCTGTACAGCAATCACAACAGAATGGGCCGCCACAAGCCCCATTTGGCCCTCAAACAGGTAAGGAGGAAGCCCTGTGTTTAAGACTTAACATGTTCACTTGATGAAAATGGAGTTCACACTGCCCTTTAACAGTTGTCATTTATGGAAATCTCAGTAAATTACTTGTGATTCATGGTCTCTAGCACACTGTTATATGTGCATTTTTTTCCTGAAAACATTTCAAAAGATAATTTAGAAAGGAAATTCCTTTTAATTCTTTCCAAGTTTTATTTCTAGTGGGTAATGTTTTGAAATTTTCTTCACTATATGCAATCTATATTAAAGTTATTTTGTCTGGTTTAAGATAGAGTGTTTTCACCAAAACAAAGTATTCAACTAAGAAGAAATTTCCTTAACATAGTCAAAATCCTAAAACAAAACAAAAAAACCACCAAAGTTGTTATTTAGTGTGGTGTATATAAACTGTTAATCTATTAGCACAGTGGTATATGACAAGTTGTAAAGTGATACCATGTGATTTTGGAGTCTAAAACACCAGAGTAGAGTTTTCTAATCTGGGTTCCTTTTAGGCTTATTCATTCATTTTATTAATTTTTCAGGAATTTTTTGACACTTTCTATGTGCCAGGCCCTGCAATGGTACTAGATATACAGGGGGTGGAAAAAGACAGTCTCTGACAGTACAGATTTATGCTCTCTGATTAATTTTTCCACTCCCTTTACTTAAGGTAAAAAGGACAAAGATTTCTTTATCAAAGGAAGATCTGGACTCGTGGTTTTTCTCTAAGTTTTCTTCTCTGGGCTAGCTTTTATCTCCTTCTTTGTGTTTTACCCCAAAAACAAACATCTCTTTGATCCAATGTATTTCTTCTGATTTCAAGGTGAGAAAAATTAGGTAGTTTGTTCTCTGGTTAAGTGTAAAGGCTTAGTGTTTGTACACCAGGCACTATTCTAAAGCCCTTTACAAACCTGTGAGGTACATACTGTTACTACTGTCATTTTACCCAGAGAGATACTAAGGTTTGGAGGAGGTAAGTTACTTTCCTGAGATGGTAGAACTAGTAAATGGTAGAGCTAAAATGAGAAGCATGGCAGTCTGTCTCCTTTTAGGTAGCTATTCAGTACGTTAATCATTAAAAACTTTTCCTGCCTCTAGTCCTTTTTAGTTCTGGCTGCATCTCCTGTTTTCAGATTTTGTCTGCTTTTATTTGTCTTGCTATCCTATCTAGTCTTTATGACAGTCTAGCACATACTGTATACCAAAGCCAGGTTATTAATCCTGAAACATAACTTTAATTTTTTAATGTTTCTCCATTGTCTTCTGAATAAAGACCAAACCTCTGAGCTTAGCTAACAAGATCCTCCAAGATCTGACCTGTTTAGCTTTCCTTAACTCAGGCTCCTCTCATTTTCATATATTTGTAATCTAGACCAGCCAGAACTCTTCACAAGTCCTTCTGTTCACCTCATTTCTTTCTTTCTCTGAGCCTTTACTCACTTGTTCTTATATATTCACAATGTCCAGCCTGTTAAAAGCATTATTAGTTGTTAATAGCCTCTCAGTCCCATTTTAAACCTTCTTGGCAATGATAAAATTTCTCAAGGGTACTGAGTGTCTGTTATTGATGAACTCCTTTTAAGTTGCATTTTTCTGGTGCTTAGTAAAGGTCAACTCTTTTTACAATTCTTAGCTATTTTGCCTTCCCTTCTGCTTCTCTGATGGCATTTAATATAGTCTCCACTGTGGTGCAGTTAACTTGTTACATGTTATTTGTTCCTTGCCAGAGGGGCTGCTTAGAGCAGGGAGCATGTTTATTACCACTACTACCGGCTTATATATGCTTAACATGTCACATTTACAAAGAATTGCACCTACTTCTAAGATTTATTTTTTCTATTTTCACTTGAGGTATTAGAATTAGTCTTCCTCTAACATTCCATAGTCTGGATTCCTCTTCTGTTATTATTCTTTGAATATATGAAGACTGTTCTTAATGTTCTTCCATGTTCTTTTTGCTTAAATTTTCAAGTTTTTTTCCCATTTTTTTAAACTGTAGCTGTGTTTTCAGGGTGCTTTGCTATTTGTCAGTACTTCTCTCAAAGGATGGTGTCCCAAACAATAGGAGACTACCCCAGAAAATTTAAGGATTTTGCTGCCATTGTTTTGAAAACTATGCTTTTAAGGTAGAATCCGTAACTTTGGATTAATTTTTAGTAGTATATATGTAGCTCTGGCAAGATAGTATTGTTGTGCCCAAGATCAGCAGACTCGGCGAGCATAGCCTCCAAGAATCCAAGGACAGCTGATGCAAACGCAAAAGGGAGTTTATTACGGGCTCGAGACCGGGCCCTCGACACGCACCGATGCAACGGCAGAGGTCGAGAGCCCCGAATAGAGGAAGCAGGGGTATCTTATTGGGTCGCGAGTGACGCGAACTTTGCAAGAAGCTGGCAATTACTCATTGGCTACTACAAAGGCATTTTGGCGCGTGCGGTTAGTTTCAAACTGATTGGACAGTTAGAGATGCTGTCCCATTTATGGATAGGACTGCCCTTATTGGTGGCTGGGGTGGTCTGCTTTTTCGTCACCAAGTGGAGTGAGGGTTGTGACTGCTGAAACTATCTCCGGAATGCGGCTGGACAAGGACTAACATAGCAAGGTGGAAGATATACAAAATGGCGAAACCTCGGCTAAGCTTGGTTCCACAGTATCTTCACTAATGTCAGTCCCCAGCCAGGTCTTTACATCCTTCAAAGTCTGGTTGCAGGTCTGGCATGCCCTTTGTGTTGTATTTTCTAGTTTTGTAAAATCTTACACCATTTTCTATAATAGATGAATTTTTTTTTTTAAAGATTTATTTATACAAGAACCGGGGTACAGGCAAGATTCGCGGGAGGGTGAGAGGATTCACCAGAGACAGAGCAAGGAGCAGAACAGACAAACTGACGAAATACACTGCTGAGGGGAGCAGCGGGCGAGACAGGAGAGGTCTGCCATGCCATGTGGGACCCTCGCCAGCCGGCTGGGATCACTGGTGCTGCAGAGGCTGCGGACAACTTCACAGCGCAGCGTTCAACCACCTGCACCACCAGGGGAGGCCCTATAATAAATGATTCTTAAAATTTTTCCTGTAGTTTTTTGATGACAAATGTTTCTTCAACACTCTACTAAACCCTGAGTTACAGTGGTAGACAAAATAGACATATTTGGACCTCATGGAGTTTAGAGCTGGGAGGAGAAAGAAAGCCAATTGGTCATCAGTCGAAGGTCAGATGATAAGTGCTATGGAGAACTAGAAAGCAGGGAAGTGGGGAGTGCTGAGGGGATTGCAATTTTAAATTGGGATGTCTATTATTAAATTAGTTAAATAAATTATATCTTTGTTATATTTTTGTCTTAATTTTACTGCTAGATTTTTTTAGCAGCTAGAATTGAGAAGTGTTTTATATATCATTTTATTTCCCAGTATGCTTTGCATGTGGTAGGTGTTCAAGATACATTTGTAAAGTGAAGTCTATCACTTTCCTCAACTCTGGCACTTACAGACCATTGAAATTCAATAGTTAGTAATTTAATATCTTTTAAAAATAGTTTCTCTATTAAAAATCTTGTTGCTTCCGAAAAATTATAATCTTAAGTATAATCTTATACTTTGGTCCTCTTTACAGTATCAAGTTTGTCCTGGTGTATAGTAAATTCTTAGGCATAACCTGTCTTTAGAAATTTGGCTGGGTACATTTCAGATACTCTAATCAGAAGCAGTTGCTTCTGGGCTATGGATTTCTTTATCCTTAAAAAAATAAGGTATTCTATAGTTGTCAGTGTATTTCCTTACTTGGAAATTTTGGATTTCTTTTCTTTCATGGTCACATCAGTGGCCTTATATATACATGTGAGTTTGAGCTGTTCTTCCCCTTTCAGGTTGAACAATGTTTAAAACGTTTGAAAAACATGAATTTGAAGGGTTCGATTCAAGATCTGTTTGAGTTGTTTTCTTCCAAGTAAGTGGTCCAGTTGCTTTCTCATGGGCTGGCTACTCAAGTGTCTTGCTGTGATCCCCCTTTGGACTTTTCTTGGTGTTGGAATATAGTTAATTGTACTTCAACTGTACAAATTGCATTTTAATGAGGGGCATCTGTTATTTCAAAATCTCCCTCTGTTGGTTTGTGGGACTGGCATGACATTGAAATTTGGGTTGTGATAGATTGTATTGAAACGATAGTATCAATGAGCTTCGGTGAGCCATTATTGAACATAACTTCCTCCAATTTGAGCTTAAAGCAAGTCTGCACTTTAAAACTGCTATATAAATGCTTTATAGTTAAGAATGAAAATAATATACTTTTCTATTTTCATCCAGTTCTGAAAATCAGCCTTTAACTACCAAAGCATGTGCCATTCCCAGCCAACCAGTGGTGGAATTGGTGTTGATGAAGGTTTTGGGAGCCTGCAAATTGTTACTTCGTTTGTTGGACTGTTGCTGCAAGACATTTCTGTATCCTTGTATCAACTTATATACCTTCTTCTAAACTACAGTTATTTAGTAGTATATCTGTTTGAAAACTAGGGGTTCTGTAGGAGTTATAACTTGTAAGAATTCTTAAGATTTTTGCTTTCTATCTATCTTTTCCCAGGAGATAGACAGAACCTGATACAACGAGTGCCAGACACTGCCTGGCTCTAGCATGTATAGTATCCTAAGGGCATTAGCAGAGAGAAATTCTTAATCTTAGAAACGAAACCTTGGAAATTAAATTTAATAATGAGAGCTGTAGCAGAGTATCTATTACTTTGTTAATTTCCATGATTTAAATGGGACATGTTTTAAGCTTTTATTTCTTCCGAGAGAATTACTTTTATTTCCAAACTGTTTCTTTCATAAATGTGGCTTATAAAACCCAAATTACTTTCTGTTTTCTAATTTTAACTTGATTCTCCAGCTTGACCGTGAAACATCTAGGCCTACAAGAATTCATTATTTTAAACCTTGTGATGGTTGGGTTGGTGAGCAGGTTATGGTATGTATGTACATACCTTTGAAGTACTTCATTTCTTATTTCATCAAACTCAGCGTAGGCTTCTCAATAGTAGTTTTCACATAGGATGCTGAAGGTATGGGAGTTCTGCCAAGTGTTGATGGCTAGATTTTAAATTGAAGCCATGAGATCACACTACACAGCTAAGCAAATGAATTCCTAGGATTAGCAATTGGTGTTCTTGGGCATTCTGTATCATTTGATTCTTTCTGCCACTACGTTTCTAATTTTTAAGGGCTGTCACCCTTAGGTGCTCTAGATTTCTTCCACCTGAAATACCACTGCTTTTTGAGGCATAATTGATATAAATCATGTCAGTAATAATTGCAAATTATTTCCTTCCCATGCATTTCTCAATATATACTGTAAAACTTAGTTGATGGATAACTGAATGTGAAATCTGCTCTTATTTGTAAGGAGCCCTGTTAAGGGTGTCTTAAACAGTTGGATTAATTCTAATTTGAATAAAAACAAAACAGTAGAAAATGCTCTCCTCTTTGGAGATTAAAAACTTTGCTTTGATGTCTTAACCTGGACATTGCAAGTACTATTTCTAGCCATCTTCTTTTTTATTCTTATTTTCAATTGGAGATAATGTTAAGTGTAATTACTAATCATGCTATTTTAAAATGTCAAAACTTCATTATTTTTTATTATAGTTTTAATTTTTGCTGACTACAACAATAAAACATACTTATTTTAAGAAATTTAAAAAATGTAGAAGAAAATTTTAAGAAGCTGAAGTTAAATATCACCACCTAGATAAAACTGCACTTAAGATTTTGATGCATATCCTTTGAGGTTTTGTCCATGTAGTACTTTGGGCTGAACAATTTTGCCTATTTGCAAATATATGCTATACCGTTTTTTATGTAAGTTGCAGAGCTCAATGAAATCTGTTGTGGTTATTATGTAACCTGAAGATTGTAATTACTGGCTAATTCATGAACTCTTATTTCTTTCTCTTAGGGTTCTCTACAAAGGTGTTTTAAGAAGACTGGTTTCTTTATATGAGCCATTATTTAGATTGCTTCAAGCAGTCTCTGAGATTCAACCAACACCTTATTTCAAAGATTTTACCTTTCCTTCTGACATTACTGAATTTTTAGGACAGCCGTATTTTGAGATCTTTAAGAAAAAATTGCCTACAGCTTTTGTAGCTAAAGGAGTAACTAAATTGCTAAATAAACTGTTTTTAACAAAAGAGCAATCACCAAAGTTCAGTGAAGAAACTTTACTTAGAATTTCCAAAAAAACCAATAAGCAAAAGAAGATCAATATACAGAATAATGTGGATCTTGGACAGCCAGTGAAAAACAGGAAAATCTTCAAAGGTAATTTCCTTTGCTACAGTACATACTCTGATTTTTAAAAAAAAAATTGTTGAAATTATAATTATTGTATAGAAAGAAATTGAGCATCTCCTTTCTTAATTTTAACCCACGTTGATTATAGAGATATAATAATTCTAAGCTCAAGCATTCAAAGTTGCTTGTTTTAGTTATTTCATAGTTCTTTAACTGCTTTCAATTGCTTTCATTTCTTTTGTAGTAATTTGGCAAGAAATGTTGTTATGCACTTAAAATTTGAAAATACTATGGCTAAAGTTTTTGATCTATCTCTACAGAAGCATCATCAAAATTTGACGTGAGGGCTTTCTGCACACAGCTGAAACACAAAGCTATTCAGGTTTGTCGGGCTTATTTTAATAAAGTTTATAATTTCTGCTTGTTGAGTGGATGCCATTTACCAAGGGCAGAAATTGAGTATCCCCAGCTTCTAAGCTTTAGTTTTTCAGTTTGAGCTTCTGAGTGCACAGGAACACCCCCAGAATTTGAGTGCACACAGATAATTCAGTTAGTAGAGTGCCTCCAGGAACACTGTACCAAGAGTTTAGTTTCACTATGATTGTGAAGACACCAGAGGATCCATCACAGGTGTGGACTGTGCTGCAGCTTAAAGTGTGGGGCTACGCAGTCAGACAGAAATGGTTTGAGCCCTGGCAGTTTTGTACAGTGAGCTTAAAAGTTTTCCTTCTTTTAAGAACTGATTTTCAAATTTCGATAGTTTTTCTCTATTGTCAGTGTGAATTCAATATATTTTTTTCATATTTCAGGAGACCAACTTGGAGTTTAAATGTTCTCCATCCAAACTAAAGGCAAGCAAACATTCTTCTCGGAAAGTGATAGACATTCACTGTGTCAAAAAATTTGTGAAAAGATTCCGAGAGGCTGAGACATTCACACAACTTTCTGAAGAAATCCAAATGGCGATTCTGTGGTGCAGAAACAAAAAACTCAAGGTGCAGGCCATCTTTCTGGGTAACAAACTTCTTAAAAGTAACCGGTTTAAGCATGTGGAAGCTCAAGGCTATAGGTAAGTGTATTACAAAAAGTATGTTCCTTTACTTTTTCTGTTGACATATAGATTTAAAAGTACATAAATTCAAGTCAGCTTTCTTTAAAATAGGATGTCTATGACCTAGAGGGGCTAAAAATGGGATCTATTGAAACTGCAATTTTATTTGCTCTTTTGTAGGGCACAGATAGGTCATTGGGAGGAAGGAAATTTGGATAATTTGACTTACTGTCACTCTTCAGCATTCCATCCATTCATTCAGAAAGTATTAGTAATGTCTGATATCTGAGCCTGGGGATACAAGAGTACATCAGGCAGAGTTAATCCACGTGGAGATCTTGCTCTCGTAGGAGATGGCCATTCTGCTCACAGCTTCAGTACAATGATGAAGGGATATGAGCAGAAGCAAAAGATGCCTACCTCCCTATGAAGGCATATACCAGACAGGGGTTAGGGCCAGGTAATGTTCTTCCACAGGAGCTACGCTTGTGTATGTATATTTATTTCTTCCATTTCTTGTTGATTCTTAACCTTCGTAGAACTGTTTAGGGATGGTTATCTTTGTGAACCAGTATTGTAGTACATGAAGCTAGATATTTCAGGGTTTTATATTTTTATTGAAAAATGCTAGGTCATTTCAGATACAAATGGCTATAAAGATCCTTATTTTTCCTTCACAAAAGTGGTCATTCTGAGCAATTATGTATCCTTCAAGAAATTATTCTGTGCATCAAAAAAATTTCTTATCTCTATAAACATATTTAGGGCTTTATAGTGCTTACCATGAATCACTTTCTTCAGCTATTTAAAACACATTGAATTTTCTTTTAAAAATTATGGAAAAGGTATTTCCATTTTAGTAAGAAATTTGATATATAATAGGGTTTTAAAGCAAGTTTTGATTAAAAAACAAAACAAAACTGTGGGACTGGTAGGTATTCCTGAGGAATGGATTGCTGGAAGATTCTTTACATTGGGTTACCCTAAAAAGCCTGTAGGCATCTAAAAGGAATGTTACCTATTCTAGGATGGAAACTCAGCCCAAGAAACAGAGAATTGTTCAAGATTGAGTTCAAGTCAATAGATAAGGTGGTTAGTAAGGGTAACAAACTGGCGTTTATCAGTTTGGTTAAACATTTATTTTGTATCCCATGAAGTATCCTGTTCTTTCAAACTCCCTGTATTTGTAGTACATTTTAAATTTACTTAAATGCCGTAACTCTGTCAGGTAGATAGTAGTCTCATTTTATAAATGAGGAAATGGAGGATTTTGCTCAGGGTGTTAGAGTTGTAGATTTAGATCTCAGAATGTTTAATTTCAGTTGGGAGGTACCCTTAACCCACTTCAAAGTCACTGCTATCATAAGACAGGAAAATGGCTTGGAAACAGATTATGACTTACTGCATCATAACGCGTTTCTTCAATGTCAGGAAGGGGGCAGGGACAGGAAGTACAGACCTGTGATCATCTTTTGAAATTTATCAGTGTAGCATTTAGCCAGGCACTAATATACCTGTAACGGTGTACCCTATTCAGAAGCAAAACATATAAAATTGTCTCTATTCGAATTCTGAATTCCCAAGCTTGAAGGTGATGTAAATCATAAATCACAATTAGAGTAGCTAAAGGCTGTCAGTTTAATCTGTCATTCCTATACAGACTCCCTCTTCACTTTTATTCCTTTTTCCATAACTATTCACTTTTATTCCTTTTTCTTTTTATTTCCTGCTACAACACAGAGTTGATGGATGAATAAATTCTGGCAGATTTTTCTGTTTGTGATTCACCTCCCAGTTCCACCACTTAAATTATGATGATTAGCATCTATCAGGTAGAAGGTTTAGTGCTAAATGGTGGCAATATCTCACCATTCAGCTACCTTGCTAGGTAGTTATAGGAGCTACATTATTTGGGAACATAATGGGGACACATCTGCCTAAGATTATACGAGAGGTAAGTATACTTTGTAAACAGATCTGGTTCAAAGCTTCAATTTCTTTATTCTTTTGCTAGTATTCTGTGGTTGTACACAAGCATTGCTTGCAGATAAATTGTGTATTTTCCTGTTGGAAGTTGCTAGAAAGCAGACAAATTAAATTTTTTAAATGTTTTTCCTATCCCTTAATCTCAGATTTTCCTTTCTCTCCATTCTTTAGTTTGCCAAAGAAACTAGAGTGCATAAAAACATCTATTTGCAACTGCTTTCTTCGTGGCTTACATAACAAAATTTCAAAGCATCATCTGAGACAAAGATCACAGAATAAGTTTTTACTGAGACAGAGGAAACCACAGAGAAAGCTGCAGTCGACTCTTTTAAAGGAAATTCAGCAGTCCTCTCAAGGGACTCGGAGTGCTACAGATAAAAGGGAACGGAGACTCTCTTACCGTGCAGTTCATAGAACTGCTCTCTACACGGACAGTAAGCAACTCTTGAGTAGCCGGGTTTCAGATCCTGTCATACAAACTAAGGAGAAACAAATTCATGAAAATCTTGCAGGAAACAATGAAAATGAAACTGACTCGTGGACGATGCAAATCAGTAAACATAATACACCAACCTCCAAAAAGGAGAGAGATGACATTGATGATATTTTTGCTTTAATGGGTGTTTAGACTCTTAATTTGTGAGACTGCTATGTGATTAACAAACTGGTCCAGTGTTCTGCTGTTTTAAGTAGAACTACTGAGATATGAAAAGGTCTGATGTACCACTTGGATTCAGAGAGGAGCTGTTACAGTGCAACATTGTACAACAGTTCAGTAAACTTTCATATTATTTTGACAAGTATTTTTCTATTGTCAAGTTTTGACTATGATTTTGTGCCAGGTATTAAGATGAAAATGTACCCTTTTCTGCTCTTGAGAAGCAGATGTGATTCCTTAAGACTGGTAGGTTCCTGAAAAACTTGAGTATTTTTATGATTTATAGGGAACCAAACCTAAATAATTAAGTCTACAAGAATGTATTCTGTGAATAAAGGTAAATGGGTATTGCAATGGGGAGTAGCAAGTTTAAAAGTTTACTCTGGCCTTACTGATTGCATTGTAGATTGTCTACCTCTGAACACAGGAACTTCTAATGCTTGTGCCGTTTTGCTTATATCATAGAATCAATTGTCAAAGGACTCAAAAGTTTTGCCACTAATTATATTACCAGGGACTGGTCCCGCCATTATTTCACTTCTTTTGTTCATCATCTCTCATAGGAAGGCCTATTAATACACTTTTGGAATTCACTGAAAGGTTTTGTTTGTTTGAATGCTGGTGATTGATTCCAAACAAACTTTTTTCCAAAAAGTATATTGTACATGGAATACAACAAGACAACAAAATAAAAGGTGAGAAAATTAAATGAACAAATAAGTGATTATACAAAATAGATCCAGGAATGAGACTAAACACAAATTTATAATTTGGTGCTGATACTAGCTAGCATTTGATATTTGTATGTTGCTCAAACAGCTGCTGAGAAATCTTAAACACATTTTAAAATTTAAAGAAGTGAAGTTTTCAGTATCTCTCAAATATTTTAGCTTACCAGCATTAGGTTACTAAGTTTCTATTTGTTAAGTAGGTTACAGCCTTAAGTTTTATTTTATATATAGATTCATAGACAAAGTGCCTTGGTATCTGCTGTATCCTTTTCCTTGCCCATTCTATCTTTTTATTTCTCCATTCTTTATCTGGCTTTCTCTGTCTCATATCTACACATCACCTATACCAGTAGCTCTCAAACTATGAATCACCCATTGGTTGTTTAAAAATACAGACTCGGGCCTCCTGGTGGCTCAGCGGTTGAGCGCTGGGTTGCAAAGCTGGCCGCAGCCTCTGCAGCGTCGGTTCGATCCCTGGCTGCTCCCCGGTCACCGGAGGAGGGTCCCACATGGCGCGCAGACCTCTCCTGCCGCCCGCTGCTCCCCTCAGCAGTGTGCTTTGGTCCTTCTGCCTGCTCTGCTCCCCGCTCTGGCACTGGTGAATTCTCTCACCCTCCCGTGCTTCTGACTGTACCCAGTGGTTGTATAAATAAATAAATCTTAAAAAAAAAACAGACTCCTAGTCCTGCAGAGTTTAATAAATACAACCGGGGATAGGGCCAGGAATCTACATTTTTTTTTAAAAGGAGCTCAGGTTGTTGGGTACAAGTAGTCCACAGTGTAGTGAAATGTTGGTTTGGTTTCCTTTCCTGAAGTGTAGCTGATTTAATTAATTCTGATTGACTCAGTTCTTAATCAAGCTTTTTACCATTTATATTTATTCCAGCTTCTACTAAGTAGTAGTCTCTACTTACTGTGTTGAAATGTGGGTTATACCAAGGAGATCTCATTTATGACAAGCCTTGAAATAGCCATAAACTTAACTCCCTTTGCTTATTTCCTGGGAACTGTCTATATTCACATGCCTAATGTAAATGGCCTCTTTCTTATGAGACTTCATTCCCAATTTTGATTCACAAGGCAAGGGTAATAAAATGATCCCTTGGAATTAAAGATTTAAGTTTCAGCCTTGTTTCTGTTTCTATTTGCATGTGAACCAATAAGCTAGCTAGTTCTTCTGGTATTTGCTCCTTCATTTGAAGTGGCACAATTGTTCAAGAATCAAACTTTTACAAATAAAAGACTAGAGATTTCTCACTGGAAAAATCACAGTGGTAAACCTGGACTGGATAAGTTTAGTATTTATTTTCCACTTCATTACTGTTCTTCTGGAGTAACTTTTTTTCATTTTTCTCCATTTCCTGACCTTATAAATCTGGGAAAAATGGTAAAAGGCTTCATACACAAAATGATAATTTATAAGGAATGTAGAATTCTCTATCAGTTCATTTATCCAAACAACTTAAATTCAAATGTTACATATTTTTAAGTGAAATGTAAAATATACAAAAGCATAGTTTACCTAGTAGATTCAAAATTGTTGGTGTCATCACAGTGAATACCAATTTTATCACTTTTGGTGGCACTGGAACACTCAGGTCATTTATGAGAATAGAATGGTGAGATCTTCCATGTTTTATTACTTCAAATCCTCTTGGTCTTTCTTCAGGCCCTTCTGTGGCAACCAGATTTAAGTAGGACTGGGCAGTTAACTGCATCTTATCCCTTGCTCCAAGAACCTCCCATGTCCTGCTTCCTGGCATCTGGCAAGCTATAGGAGCCATTTTGTATTCAGACAGGTACAATTTGTAAGAGGTATAGGGCCATCCTTGACTCCCTTCAAAGACAATTCAGTGGCACATTTTATAAGGCTAAGAAGGCCCCTTGAGATCAGCACTACTGCCAATGTGGTGTCTTGATACATCCGTGGTTGGCTTTTCTTCTGTTTTATTTCCCTACCATGTCTGTTCCTTGGGATCACTTCCAAAATTAATCACCACATACAATTTTTTGTCTTGGATTCTGCTTTTAGAAAAATCAGAGCTAAAACAAGTAGTAACACTGTCAAGCAGAGATGATTTCTAAGGCAATTTCTAAGGCATATATTTTACTGTGTGAATGCTTATATAAAGTCCCTTTTTTTTGTTTAAAACACTGCTGCTTAGAATAGACCAGTGTTATCAACTGGAAAACAACTGAAAATATATTAAAAAATTAAATTTTCTAAAAAAGCTACAGAGTTGTTTTAGTCTTAATTTTCTATACATGGCTATTGCTATAACCTTTCATTATTCTACCTTAGTTTGAAAAGATAAGTCACTTACATGAATAGGTCAATAGCATCCTCATAAAAATCTTTTCTATTAACTTTAATCCAAATGAACACTTTTACTTTCCCGCTCTGAATCTTAAGATAGCAATTCTAAACTGTCCCAGTTCTTAACTTCATCTCTTGACCTTAAGTTTTCTCACTTTCGAAACTAATTTTTTTGGGCTTTCACAAGATAAAATGTTACTTCCATGACAGAATATTTTCTATGATAAATTTCTGTGAATTTTGCTTTTGGTTTTGTTTTACGAATATGCATACATCCTTTTATTTATATCATTATAATCTTTACTACTTTGGAGGCTAGAGTTATAAAGATCAAAAGAAATCTAGTTATTTTCCCAAAGTCCAACATATAATATTAGAATTGGAACTTATAATATCTGATCTTCTGATTCTGAATCCTATGTTTACCTGAGGGTGACTCATTGAATAAAGAACTCAGAAAAAAAGATAATTTATAGGAACATATAGGAGTATTCAACCTGTCTATAACTGCTTAACACAAAAGAAACCTTTTTTACTAGTTCATTTTAATATTTAAAAATATATACATAATAGGCATTTTCTTTAGAAGACAAATCCAATAAATAACATGGCAAACCCTTTTCTGTGGTAAATCATTTTCATTTTGTGAACACCATATGCTCTTGTTTTTCAGTTTGTTAAAACAGGAAAAACTACCAGTATCTGTTCTAATGATCAGTATAATCTTATTATTTATAAACCCTTTTCCTCCCTCAGGCACAAATTCATTCTTGTTTTTCAAGGATGCAGGTTTTAAAGCTCTAGTGATTCTTCTGCACGTTTTAGATACAGAACATTTAAAACAATTTTGAAATTCTAGGTGTTTAATTCTAATTGGCAAGAAGATTTCTGAATCTGGCAGCTCTCAGTCCTGAGATTTCCTGTTATGTTTGCTATAAAGCATTTTAACAGGTGGATTCCAGAATAGGTCACAGCACTGAAAAAAAAAAAAAATTAATAATTTTCTTCCCTTATTTCAGATGGCAAAAGATCTTAATTAATCTAACTTAAAGTTTGTTTAAAATGCTTGTGAGTTCCATGTGACAAACAGAATGCCTTAATTTGTCTTGCCTTTCTCCTCTTCCTCAGTTTCTTGTAGTGTTCTAAAATCTATCTCCCTCATGAAGTCTAAACATTTAACATTATCTTCTATTTTGAATTTTCTTTTCCAGAATGAAAGTTTCAGTCTCCTTGGTTTATTTTTCAACAAAAATTCAATCACCTTAGTAATTCAGACACTTTTAAGCAATTAAAAAAAAATCATTTGTTGGCATGGAGATAACCACAAGTTTTCTCAGGATACATGGACTTTTATGGATATAGGTATAAGGTGTATTTGTATACAGAAAAGGTAAAATAGTGTCTCCTAGATATTGAATTCTCTTCTTGGTATAGTATTTTGACATTCTGACCAAAGCAGCCTGCTTGAGAACAACAATGGTGAACCCTGTGGTTATACTAAAGATACAGTTTAAAGGAGAGATACCAGTTGGACAGTTCACATACTAACTATGGCACCTTGAACTCACTGGCAACATTTCTGTCAATTCAGGATTTTCTTTGTCCTTAGAGTTAGTACTTATTGCTTAGAATTTCACTACATGGAAAACCATGTGTTATATAAAGTCTGAGTGATCCCAGCATCATTCCTTAAGAGTCATTTAGCATTTATAATTCTCTGCTCAGCTAGGGCCGAGTTCGGACATGAAGCAAGCATTTAACTTTTGCCTATTGGCTTACAGGCCAAACCTCACTGGACCACATGTCTACCTCATACTCCACCTTTCTTCTATCAAGATTACAAGAAGAGAAGGAAATAAAATCTGACTTACTTTATGATAACTCTTGTGAATAGACCACAATCATTGGGACTTTGTCATGCAAAGAGCAAGGAGTATATATAACTACTTGCTGAACTGGGTATTGAGAGCTATGGAGTACAGCCCAATAACTTCCTGTATGTGGTCGTTGTGACATAGTGAACACTAAAGTTTTTGAAAGCCAGCGTGCTCCTGTGTTCCAATTATTACACTTTGAGTGTTGTATCCTGATCCCTTGTGGCGAGCAGGGTAGCACAGTGATTCCAGAGTTATGCAGCAAAGAACACTGGCATATTTAAATATACCTGGGTCTCCCAGGTGGCGCAGCGCGTTGAGCGCCGTGCTGTGAAGCTGTCAACAGCCTCTGTAGCGTGGATTCAATTCCCAGCAGGCCAGGCAGAAACCCACATAGCACGACAGACCTCTCCTGCCTTGCCTGTTGCTCCTCTCAGCAGTGTCTTTGGTCCTTCTGCCTGTTCGGCTCCCTGCTCTGTCTCTGGTGAATTATCTCACCCTCCCGCACCTCTGACCTGTACCCCAGTTCTTGTATAAATTAAAAAAAAAAAAAAAGATAATACCTGTAAAAATATTGGGAATCTGATTATCTGGGTTATTAGTCTGATGTACCATTTACTGCTCTCCTGACCTTTGGAAAGGAACTACCATTTGCCATGTGTCCCCCGGTGTGTATAATGATCACAATACATTTTACATTTATATTAAAATATATTTTACATTTATATTTCTTCTTTACATATGGACTTCTAAAGGAAAGTTTTTATCTTGCACAGCTAAATGAGCTAAATTGAGAAAGGGATGATAGCATCTCTACTGTGACTGTTGTTTAACTGACTTTTAAGAAGGAAAATGTTTTACCTCTGCTATTGTGGAAGTAGACTGACTAGACTAAAAAGAGAATAAAGATACCTATAGGAAAGATCCAGCAAGAACCTGCAGAAGCAGGACAGAATAGAAAGAAGCCAAACATAAATGTGCTGATGGTTGTAACAGTAAATCATAGCTAAGGGGGTAGTCTTCTAAACAACTCCAAGTTTAAATGATACCTCAATTGAAGAAACACTGATTTAATACTAAAGACTGTCAGTATTATTAGTATTTATTATAAAATAATTATAAAATATAAAATTTTACATATTATAAAATTATATATAAAATAGTGTAAAATATACAATATAAATACAAAATATATTTAATACCATGTTATTTAATATAATATTGATATTATATTACTTATTATTATATATTATTTAAATATATTGTACCATAAATATTATATTATTTAAACCTTATTTATTTTATTTTATATATATTAATATATATATTATAAAATTATTATAAAAATAATTCAACTCTTACCTTACTGGAAACAACTGAGGAAAACATCCTTGTGTTTTAGTATCAACAAATTTTTGGATCTGAAGCACTTGTTTTAAAAGATGTCCCTTGGAAGATTTGTCAATTTTTGTTAATACCATCTGCAAGAAAACAAAATTTAAGCATCAGAAATAAAGTATTTTGGAATTTACATTTTAATTACAATTAACTAGTTAAAACAAGGTGACCTGTGCAAGTTATTTAAGCTCTCTGCACTTGTTTTCTCATCTATTAAATAAAAGCAGAGAGCTTTGAAGGAGCTGCTCTGAAAATAAAATGAATTAATGCATGCGATATATAAAGCATATACTATATGTTTGCTACTTGTGGTGTTTAAACTACAAAGGCCATAGTATCTTGGATTCAAGACCAGTGAAAAGGACCTTGGAGACATAACATGCAAAGTCAAATGTTTTAAATGATGACTGTATATCTTGTGGTATAAGATTTATAAGTGAGTATTACTATAAGATTTACAAGTGAGTATTACTATATAAAATTGCCAATTATACCTGATTCTACCTTATATATAAAAATATAAAGGAAAAATTAAAAGTCAGGCTCAGGCTAATTTTAGGTTGTATCCACTATATTTATATTCCAAGTTATAACAGTTATATTCCAGGTAATGCTAGAATCTACTAGGCTTACTAGTAAGTAACTACTTTGAATACTTATTCAAAAAGTAAACCCTTGATCTATTAAGCTTTCCTGTAGAATTACTATAAAATTGAATTTCATTACTAATCATTCATGCTTTTCAGTTATAAAAAATGCTAATGGCTAAAGCACAAAGTGTGTAGTTTCTAACGACTTGTGAGTCCCTCTCTACAAATGAAAGTCTCCTCATGAAGGCAAATACGCTGGTGTTTAAAAGGAGACCTAATCTATCTACCACAACTTCTCCAAAAGAGAAAGTAATGTTTCTTTAAAGTTAAAAAGGAAATACATGATTTCACAAAATGGTACCTATAATACCAAATCAGTAATACTATCATTTAATAAAATCAGTTGGTCAATATTTGGGCATCCTGTAGACGATGTTTATCAGTGCTTTGAATCCTCATATTGAAGCTTGGAAACCATGTTGGGCGCCAGCTGTTAAAGGGCAGTCCCGATATTGAACGGGTTGCCTGGCTGTGGGTCCTCACCCGCACGCTTAAAAGGGACTTATTAATACTCCACTATAGGCATACACAAAAGGTTAATAAAAGGTTTATTTACAAGGGAAAAGGAAATAAGGAAAATGTACAACTCAGGGAGAAAATAGGGAAATAAAGTCTTTAATGCATCCTACCCGATCCGCTGACCTAGAAACCCAAAAAACACTCCCAGAGCTGGCGGGACGCTGCGAACTGGCGGAGAGCCAAAATGGGGGAACCCCTCCAAAGCCCACGTGTCTGGCTTTATACCAACCTGACTGCTTAACCCCACCCTCAGATCTCAGCCACCTTCCCTTTGGTGGTGATGGAATTTGGAGTTCCCAGTGTCTTTGGCTTTGGCCTGGGGTGGGGGTGGAGTCCACAAAGCCTGTATAAAATTAGTTTTAGGACATCCTTTTCCCCCTAACAATATGGTAAGTTCTGTCTAATGCTGCACAGGCCTTGTACAAGCCCCAGGAATTCCATAACACCAAGAATGCCAAAAAATTGCGGACTAGTGACACAGTTTGATTTGCATAAATGCCATTGTTACATTTTGATTGTTTTTCTGATTTATTTTTGAAATCAAACTATTGCCACTGGCTTCTTCCCTTGTCCTTAGAAGGACTTTAAGAACTCTGTAATATCTGGAAAACTAACAGAGTAAAGCAAATGGATGCCAACCTACTAAAATGTATTCTAATCTAAGACAAACAACAGAAAGACAAAACTGCTAAGATATTCTTGGAAGAAATTTTGTTTTCTTTAAAAATATAAAAACATAATTGTATGTGCTGGAGCTTGCTATGTTTTTGTAATGGTTCTTCAAATCTAAATTATTTTAGCAAATTTTTTAGTTGCAGTTTTATTTACATCTAATAAAAATCACCTGCCAAACTGCTTTTAATAGCTACTAGCATGTGGGGCCTCCCCTGGTGGCACAGCGGTTGAGCGCTGGGCTACAAAGCTGCCTGCAGCCCCTGCAGCGCCAGTTCGATCCCCGGCCGCCTGTGAGGGTCCCACATGGCACGCAAACCTCTCCTGCTGTGCCTGCTGCTCCCCTCAGCAGTGTACTTCAGTCATTCTGCCTGTTCTGCTTCCTGCTCTGGCTCTGGTGAATTCTTTCACCCTCCCACACTTTGGACTGTACCCAGTGCTTGTATAAATAAATAAATAAATAAATCTTTAAAAAAAAAAAATAGCTACTAGCATGTGTATCACAGGTATTTACATTGCAGGGGGGAAGAAAAACAGAAACGCTGAATAAACAGCTTTTAAAAATGTTACATTGACTATAATTTTGAAAGTTTAAAAGATGAAAGAAGAGAATAAAAGTACCATAAAACTTACCTGTAACATTAAATGCTAATTAAGTGAAAAGATTATTTCAAAAGGTACTCTTTTCTTCACATAGTTGGTATTTCTAACAGAAACCATGATTAAAAAACAATACTGTACTTACCACATAAGGTAATGCAAATTCTTCACACATTTCTATGGCAATATTGTCTGTCTTTTGAATTCCAACAACACTATCCACTAACAAAAAAGTTCTCATCAAACTACAAGAATGCAGAAATGAAGATTAATGGCAATATACAACAAACTCATTCTTTTCTCCCCTCACCCACACTAAGAAAATTTCCTTTGACTACTTTTCAATCCAAAATTAAAAAATGTCGTTAGGTAAAAGGAATTCTCAATACACCAGGAAGTCCACCCTACAGTCCAATATTTCTCAATGGTATTTATTCTTAATAACCTAATTTACTAAATATTAATTTATAGCACTAGCCTGTATTAAACATCAGGCACTCTGCATGAAACTGGATGCAAAAATGAAAGGGAGAAATAGACATGAACCAGGTACATTACAAGTCGTATTTTCTTGTGTGAATGTTTCATCTTAGTTTCTATGTAAAGTTACAACAAGCAAGATTATTATAAACACTTTTTTATACTTCAGAACTTTAACATTAATTTTTCTATTCTATCATGTAATACTTGAAACAGAACTGCCACTTAAAAAGGATAACATTTACAAAGGATGTGATGACAGAAATATCAATAATCAGAATTCACTGAAGCTTATTTATATCTGGCAAATGGCACATCAATTTTCATTTTCAAAATTAGCTAAGAATCTGGTGTACCAAAATTAGTAAATTCTGTTGAAGCACAATTTATGGTCTCAATTTTAGGGGAACACTTGAATTTAAAATTAGTCTAGCCTATCGGCAGAACCAAAGCAGTACATACCATGTTGCAGAATATTAAGAAAACAAGATAGACTTTCCATAAGAAGTTATTTGATGAAACTAAAGTGTTCATTATGTACAGTGCTATTAATGAAAATATGCTTTTGGGTTAAATGTGTAACTATTATACAAAAACATTTTTCCTTACTTCCTTCGTTCTTTTAGATATGTCTCTACCATTTCAACAAAATCTTCCGGTGCTCTATAGCCATAACCTGGCATGTCCACCAATGTAAAGTATTTTCCAACTTTGAAAAAATTCATTTTCTTTGTGTGCCCCTGATAAAGTAAATGGAAAAAGAAAAGCTTTTTAAAAAGTTCTTTATATATTTCATGACTCAAATACTTTTTTTTTAAAGATTTATTTATTTTTATACAAGAGCTGGGGTACAGTTCAGAGGCACGGGAGGGTGAGAGGATTCACCAGAGACAGAGCAGGGAGCAGAACAGGCAAGCCTCCCTAGTGGTGCAGCGGGTTGAGTGCGGCGCTGTCAAATATTTTATTTTAATCAATATTTATTAAAGCCCTAAGCATCATGTATATAACTGAAGCTATGCTGATGATGACCGGAAAGGAAGACAGGAGGAAGTGGCTGGAGATAAGTTTGGATGATACTTTTCCCCTCCAATTCATTTTTCTAAGAATATCTGTATGATTTAGGAAGAACTTCAGATTCTGTATTAGAAATATGTAGACAAAATATTTTAGAATCTTTCCTATGAGATTAGTTCTCTCAACCCTGTTCTTTTCTTTTCTTTTTAAAAAAGATTTATTTATTTATGCATACAAGAGCTGGGGTACAGGCCAGAGATGCGGGGAGTGAGATTCACCAGAGACAGAGTGGGGAACAGAAAAGGCAGACTGACTGAAATACACTGCCGAGGGGAGCAGTGGGCGAGACAGAAGAGGTCTGCTTCACCATGTAGGTTTCTCTCTGGCTGGTGGGGGATCTAACTCATGCATGGCTGCGGATTGCTTCACAGTGCAGTGCTTAACCTCTTGCGCCACCAGGGAGACCCTCAACCCTGTTCTTAATGGTGTGATTTCACTGATTAATATTCTCTGATGAATAATAAGTCTCCACTTTAAAGACAAATGAATCATGGAAGATAGGATAAAATGCTTATCATCAGTCCTACAATTTTTCATAAAACCTAGATCCAAAGACTGATAGTTGATTGTGCCTGGTACACTGCTGCTTCCTTAAAATCAAGATGTCTTTGCACATTCCACTAGATAAGTTCAAGTACTTTCATTAAATCATTTTAAAAAAATCTGTACAACACTATAAAACATCTGTGCAACTAAAAATGATATAAAGATGATAAAAGTTTATTAATGGTTTTGTGTCCAATCTGAAAATATTAAGATAAATAACTTTAAATGTCAATTGTTTGATAGAACAAATATTTTCAGAGAGAAAGTTTACAAATGGTGCTTAAGTTCCCAGTCAGCCTATGTGTCTCCCTATACGAAAAAAGACTTCAGAATTATAGATTAGGAATGTCAAGAATTCATTTCTTCCATTGTTTTCACACAGCATGAAGAGAACCATCCTACACAGAAGTGGTAAGGAAGAAGGAGTTAGGATTACCAAATGGAAACAATCATCAGCTACTGAGCCAGCATATCAATTCCGGTAAGAGTAGTGAAGTCTAGTGGGAGGGTTATAAAAAAATGGGTGGTGAGAGGGGGTAAAGAGCTTTGGGTTGGTGGAAATATTTTGCCATGGATAGAAAATAAGGTGAGGGGAGCTAGGGGTTAGTTTTGAAGAGAGGGTATCTTACAGATTGGTAGGATCCGCATTATTTAGAAGGAAGTAGAGGGAACTAGAAAATAATAGAAAGTAACCACAGCTGACTGGCTGGGAAGACACTGGATAAACTGCTGGGGTGGCGAGCAGTGGGGATGGGTGTGTGTGTGTGTGTACTGGCAAAATATGAAAGATTAAGAGAGAAAAAACCACCATTTTAATGCTGTTTCCTCTAAAATCAATGCAGAAATAGATCATTCTCTTAGAAGCAAATATAGTATGACAGTAAAACACTCTTGGCAGCTATTTGGAAAAGATCAGGAAAAAGGATGATTTCTTCATCATACTGGCAAGACTACTAAAATAAAACTTCCTTTTTGTCAGAAAAATATATTGGCATTAACAAAATGTTTTATCTTACTACTTGTTTGAAAGAAAACACTTTTCTAGGAACTTCGCAATTATGCTTTATTGGAGTGCTAAACATTTATATCTATCTTAGTCAATAATACAGGGATATTAACTTACCGGTTTTTTGGAGATTCTGACTTCAACCTCTGGGGCAAGTGAAAATAAAGCTTTTATTAAGGAGGATTTTCCAACATTGCTTCTGCCTATAAAACACACCTCAATCAAGGAAAAAGAAGATAAGTGAAAATTAGCTTACCTATGGTTATATGTGTATATTACATATTGAAAATCTGTCAAACCTCAGTTTTGCTTGACAATAAAAAGTGGCTTAAGGTTAGTCAAGCCTCATATAGCTACTATCCACTGAATGATTTCAATGTGCCAGGTACTGCCAAAGCACTTGACATATATTTTCTTATTTACTTTTACAATGTACCTATGAAGTAAGTAATATTTTTCCTGTTTTACTGATGATAAAACCAGAGGTAGAGGGAGGTTAAATAATTGATCTAAAACTATACAGCAAAAAAATGATGGAGATGGAATTTAAACTTAGAACCTGTCTCTAGACTCTGTGCTTTAATTATGAATATTTGCAACATTTTTTAATCACTTTATAAAACTTTTTGAATTAAAAAATGACATGCATTTTATCATGACTGGTTCTAAAGCAGAACTACATGCTGGAACCACATTTCCCCACAAACCCCCAGAGTACACCATTGTAATTATAAGGTTATTCCATTCCCTTGACCTTGCTGATTGTAATTAATCTTTTCTCCTTTAACATAAAAAAGCAAAGATATATATCTGATACTAACCATTTATACAAATGAATCTGCTCTTTGATATGGTACTGAGGGCTACAATACCATTCAGTGGTTCTAAATGAGGGCAATGCCAATGAGGGGGGGTGTTATTTTGGAAATCTATAAAGACACTTTTGGTTATAAATATGATTAGGCAACATGTAGTGGGCAGGGGTAGGGCTGCTATATATTTTGCAAAACTGGGACCAGTCCTTCAAAATGAAGTGATCTGAGTCATGCACAAATTTCAAATAATCTGCCAGATTTCATTAGAAAATATATAGATAATAAAACTGAATTTTAAAAAATGAATTACACAAAAGACCAGTAATTTGGAAGCTTACACTGAAAAACAATGTTATCTCAAAATTAATAAATTATTATAGCAGTACTAAATATATTCGAACAGTTGCAATGCAGTGTTGCAATTCTGCAAACACATAAGGAGATATGAGCTGCCTTTTATAAGACTTAGAATAAAATATTAAACTGCAGGATATGCACAAAACGCACCCAGGGTATTTCACTGAAGTTTTTTTTTTTTAATCTATACATTGCTATCTATACATATTATTTTTACACATGATAGGAAATTTACAGTGAAAATTACATATTGATAATTACGTCATTTGTGACAAACTATCATACTATACATGTTCTTCACCTTGTATAATTTATCCTGGCATGTTTTCCTACTTCGATTAAATTGGAAAAAGATAATAAAATCTAGCTCATTTTGGGGAAACTTTAGTTGGAATTTTAAAACCTTTTAAAGTCCTTTATATTCATTACCAAACTAGTTAAAACTGTAATTGCTTACTTAGTTAAAATAATTATATGCATCCACACAAAGCTGCAAAAAACAAAAACAAACCATAATTTGGTGACCAGAAATAGGTGACAGCAAAATCCCTGTCCAAGCTTTCAGGACTGGCTGGGAGTTACGAATCTCACCTCTGGGAGGCGAAGGTCCGGGGCATGGTCGAGACGCTCTGCTGAGCTGAGATACTCGATGCGGTTTCTGGCCGAGGCCGTGAAAAAGCTCTCCGCCCTCGCGATGTCCTCGAGGCTCGGGTCGAAAATCTTCAGGTGAAGATCCGACCTCGAATCCGCGACGAGGTGCCGCTCGAGTTCCTGTAGCGGAAACACGAGCTTCGTTAGTTGCTTCCTCGGCAGCCGTAGCACCTCCGCAAAGGGCTGAGAAGTGCTATAAACTCGGTTGGCGCACCCCAGCGCAGGCGGCATCTCAAAGAGCCTGCCAAGGCACGGCCGCAGCCTGGGCGCCGCCATTTTCCTCGCCCAGAAGCCCCGAACACGATCTCTGCCCTAGAGCTGCGTGTGCGTGGCCTCGTCCCGCTACGCCTGCTGGGAATTGTAGTTCCCACTGACCTTCCTGATTTTCCGCGTACTCTCTCCGTATTCACTGAATGGGAACAAACGTTGCCCTTGCAGGAAAACCCCCCTCCTTGTTTCCTTTCACACTCTGACCATGATGACGGTATTGCGCCTTTGACATGCATTTCTGTGTTTACCGGTTTCCACTGTTGAAAAGGCAAACCTGTACGTGCAGCCCTTGAGTTGCAAGCAAGGTAGAAAACGTGTGAAGGAAGGTCTGGGGGCATCTGTGAGGTTTACTCCTCACAGTTCACGTTGTGTTACCGACCAAGCGTCAATTTTTGCAAAAAAGAAAAGGACTAGTTAGAAATGTGGTTGAAACAGCTTCTCGTTTTCAATTGAAGGACTGCCCATATCTCCTTATCTGCAAGAAGTGTCATTGTATTTTAGGTATTTCTTAACAGAATAAAAGCGAAACAGTGTTGCACATGGACTACAGAGCTGTCTCACGAAAGTTGTCTCACGGAAGTTATATATTATATAAAATCTTATTTCAAAAATTTATTCTCAAACAATTCAAACTGAGCAAGGTTGGCTGGGATGATATGATAAAATGAATAACTGAAAAATATTCCTGCTCTTAAGAGGACAGAGCTTCTAAAAACAGCAGCAAACAGCAGAAGAATGTTAATTCATAGCCTCTTGAGCTGTTCTCCAGGTGTTTAGTAAATGTATATGATAGAAAAATTAATGAACAGGACCAAGGATTTTGAGAGCAAGTTGGTCTGTGGTAGCCCAACAATTTTTTTAAGAATTAAAGTAGCATTACTTTATAACATTATATAAGTTTTAGTTGTGCATCACTAAAAATTAAATGGGTATATACTATATAAAATTCGCCAAGATTTGTCCTAAGTTGATCCTATTCTATCCTTTCCATTAGGCCTTGAGGCTTCTTCTAGTGTCACTCACCACCCTGGACTTCTGACAGAATGAATGCATATATTTCTCAGTATATATTTTAATTAAAAGTGCTTTTTCAACAGGGCCTCCCCAGTGGCACAAGGGGTTGAGATGCAGCCTATGGGCCTGTGGGCAGCCACTACAGCACGAGTTCAATCCCTGGCCGGGGAGATGCCCCGCATGGCACAGCAGACCTCTCCTGGCTCGCCCGCTGCTCCCCTCAGCACCTCAGCAGTGTGTTTCACAGTCTGCCTGTTTTGCTCCCCACTCTGTCTCCGGTGAATCCTCTCACCACCACTGCCTCCCCCTGCCCCCCACCACTTGCCTGTGCCCCAAATCTTGTGTGCATAGATGGATGAATCTTTAAATTTTTTTTTTCCAGCAAACTTTTTTTATGTTTAATAAGGGATGGCTACCTGAGACAGGAGAGGAGGACTCTTTTTTTTTTTAAGATTTATTTATTTATTTACACAAGCACTGGGTACTGGGTACAGTCAGAAGCGCGGAAGGGTGAGAGAATTCACCAGAGCCAGAGCAGGGAGCAGAGCAGGCAGAAGGACCGAAGTACACTGCTGAGGGGAGCAGCGGGCCGCAGGGGAGGTCTGCGCGCCATGTGGGACCCTCCTCCGGTGGCCGGGGAGCAGCCGGGGATTGAACCGGCGCTGCAGAGGCTGCGGGCAGCTTCGCAACCCAGCGCTCAACCGCTGCGCCACCGGGGAGGGCCCTTTTTTTATGTTTAAATAGTATGCTTGGAACTCTTTCTATAGCGATGCATGCCAACCTACATGTTTGTTTTTAATGGAATATATTCCATTTATTTCCCTAGTGTCATATTGATCACCAAATGGATTTAGTATTATAATAATGCTGCTGTGAGCACTCATAAATGGATGTCTTTGCATACTTACAGAAAATGGATATATTCCTAGGAGAGAACTTGGCAGTCATAGGATGTGTACCCTAGATTAAAAAATTATCATCTAATTTTTTCCCCAACTGGTTAGTTATCTCAACAATATTTAATAGCTCATCTTCACTCCACTGATTGATAGTGCTACTTGTATCATAATAACAAATTTCCATACATATGTGGCTTCATGAAAGTTGAAAGTGCTTTCCTGTGTGCCATTTCATTTCTAAACCTTGGGCCCCAGATTTGGAAATAAACCAGAACATACATTATTTCTACCAATTTTTAGGGTTTTGGAAATATTCAGCGATCAATAGTCATCGCAACATTGGTTTTGTAATACTACATAGCTCTGAATCTAGAATCATTTGACAGGACAGTTTTTGCAAAATAAGTAAATTGTCTTATCATCCAAAAACAGAGGGGTCAGACAACCCACTGGAAATAAATATGAAAAATAAAATAACTTCATTTATTTAATCATTCTTTTTTTTATCCATTCTATTTTTTTAAAGTATCTGTATAAATAAGCATCTGATCAGAAAGATGATATAAATAATACATTGTACTTTCTTTTGCTAAATGTGATCAAACTCAACTAGTGAGAGGAAAAAATAGCTAGAAATGGGAGAAATTAGCTTAAGGAACCAGGTCCTCTGTAGAGCTGTGATGGAGATCATAGGTTCACAGGAAGTTGTCAAAGTACAGGAAATTAGGTTAAATTGCTGTGGTTAATGGGATGTTGCAAAGGTATTCTCTGTGTGCTGGAAATATTCTGACTGATGGCAACATCTTGGTTCCGGGAGGTCTGTCAGAGTGAAGTAGAACCAGTCAAGTCAATCATTACATTAATTTAAATTACATTAATGTAAAGTAATTACATTAATGAAGGATACTGCACATAATGCATGAGTGTTTAGGAGACACTGTAGCTAACACATAAAGAACAGTCATATTAAGAGTTGGGGGTGGGGAGGCGGGCGTCTGACTTGTGATGACATATTTTGTATATCATATTCTTTTTCCCGCTAGTTGCCAGTCACACAAGTCAGTGTGTCCCTTTCCCTGTTTTTACTGAAACTAATTTGGCTTGGATTTTCTGTTACTGCAGCAGAGTCTGTCCTGATTATTACAACATTGTAAGAAGCTGAGTGTTTTGTTGAGTCATTCCAGGACCATCAGACTACTGTGCAGGATAGAGTATCTTAATGCTACTTTCAACCCTATTATATGGGAGTGAAGGTAAAATTTTAGGGTTTAGAGCATCTGTGGGTCCAGGATAAGCATTCATCCTTAACATAATAGAAGGACTTCAAGAAGTTCAAGAGTTTTCCTTTCATTCACAATGTTTCTCATATGGTGGTTATGATCTTTGGTAAAGGTCAGTAATCTGGTTACATTGTGAAAATTAGCAGAGTTCAGGATGTGTTTATGGTCATTCTACTGAGAAAAAATTCTTTCTGTATGATAGATAAGGAGAAAATTCACCACAAAGTTAACAAATTTTTGTATTTAGTATGACTTGGGAAAATATTACATATTTTGTCACATTGCTTAGAATCAACTCATTGATAAAAATCTAACTTAAATATTATAATTATACTCTGTCATGGTAACTATATATTCTGTCATATCGAGAATGAAGGGGATCATCTCAATTATTCCTCCAGTGATATCAGCCTCTATAATGAATGGCCATTAAATCTAGACTGATCTCAATTTATGTGCAGATCGTATAAGTGTCATGTTTAGGAACTCCATCTGAGATATGAAGAAAACAAATGCTAGCCAGGCACAATTGTGGACATCAGAATCAGCAAGCACAGTATACATAGAAATTAACTCTCATTCTAGGCTAGAAATGGTTTAAATGTTCTGACAGAAGCAAAGGCAGAGAGAGGTAATGGATTAGGTGTCAGCGTCCAATTTGCATAAATCATTATTTTCCTTCACAAGACCTCTCCCTTTTTTAACAATAAGAACTAACATTCATTGAGTGACTGCTATGGCAGGAATTGATCCAAGTGCCGGGAATAAAATATTAGAAAAAGATGGATATAATCTAACTGCGAACTCAAACTCTTATATTAGAAAGAAAATACTAGAGGAGAGTATATTAAAGAGAATGCTATGGGAGGACTTTCCACGTGTAACTTAAATAGCTTGAATTGTAGTAACTGCTGTCTGAATGAATGATTTTAATAATGTACTTAATTACATTTTTCTCAAATTTTCTGTGCAACAGTTTATTAAAAATATTTACATCAGATATTACTAACACAAATTTATGGCACTAACACAAATTGATGGCACACACCTGCAACATGATGTATAACTTGTCCACATAACTTCCTAATTAAGTTATATTATTATTACTCTCAAAATTTAGTTTTATCATTATCCAAGAGACATATTTCCCATGATCCTTTTCTTCTGAGAGTTCATCAAAGTCATTTAGTTTCACTTTATAGCTCATTAATGTAACTTTGGAGAATATCTCTAAGTCTGGAGAGGGTTTTTTCTTTGGGGAAGCTTTTTGAGCTTTCTTTTAAAGTTGTGCCTACTGTACTAACATTTCTCTGCAGAGATCTGAAGATTAAATCTCAGACAGTGCTCATGTGTAGGAAGTGAGTTCTTAGAATGATTTGGGTTTGGCGGAGAAGTAGTGTAAAGCTTAACTTCCCCCAACATTGTTTTTCTCAATAGAAAAGTGATTGTTTTATGTAGTCTTACTTTTTCTCATTTCTAAGTGTATATTTGATCTCTGCCATATTAGTGCTATTTAAAAATTTTAGAACACTTATGTTTTTATATTATTCACAAACTTGGTGGTTTTTTTTTTTTTTTTTTGAGAACCATGAATTTTGTTGTTCTCACTGATCAATTCCTTAGTATTTGTTACCTGTTAGGCAAGTTAATTTTGATGGGCAAGTTTAGTTGGCGGTATGCCTCTAATTTATATCTTTTTTTTTTTTAAAGATTTATTTATTTATTTACACAAGCACTGGGTGCAGTCAGAAGTGCGGGAGGGTGAGACAATTCACCAGAGCCAGAGTGGGGAACAGAAAAGGCAGACTGATGAAAT